TCCAACCTCACAGGCTGAAATTGAAGGTGGCAAACAAAAAACAACAACTAAAACAGTGGGAGGGGTAGGTACTAGTAAGGGTAGAGACAATGATACTGCTGATGACACGAGCAGCAGCTCAGATAATGAGCAATTCAGTGCTGATGATAATTTCTGCAGAGATGCCTTGATGTTTGAGGATACAGGCAGTATAGATGAAACAGAAAATGACCAGCAATCTGTGGGAAGCCAACAGCAAGAGCATGAAGATGTGACTGGAACTTTTAATATTCCTACCCAACAATCACAAAAGAAAGGCAGAAAAAATAAAGCAAGACAGCCTGCAACTTTTGGTTCAAAAACTATAGATGTTGGAGCTGCATTTGATGGGGACAAAATAGATGATCAACTAGATAGTGGTGAAGAGTCATCTGAGGAAAGGGGAGGACATATCCCCAAATTCATTGACTTTATCCCAGAGAGGAACATGAAGAATCCGAGGTTCTTTAAAGGGAAAAAATTTGCTAATAGTAGGGAGTTCAAAGAAGCTCTTAAAAACTATGCAATTGTTAATGGTAAACCTGTGAAGCCTTGCAAAAATGAGAGAAAAAGAGTTAGAGCAAAATGTAAGCCCCACTGTAGGTGGTTTGTTTTTGCCTCAACAGTAAATTGTCTAGGCATAAATGACTTAGTGGTGAAGTCAATCTATGATAAGCATGAAAACTGTGGCCATGCTTGGAAGAATAGAGCTATTACCTCAAAGTGGTTGGCAAATAGGTATGAAGAGAGGTACAGGTCCAACCTACAACTGCCTGTGAAAGAGCTAATACAAACAGTTGATGAAGAGTATAGGTCCAAAATCACTAGAGCAGTGGCATATAAAGCAAGAGCACTAGCTACTCAAACTGTGAAGGGTTCAGCTGAAGAGCAGTACAAACTTTTGGGTAGGTACTCTGAGGAGCTTAAAGAGACTCATTCAGGTACAACGACTGAAATTATGTTCACTCCATTCAGAAAATCTGGTGGTAATCCAACATTTATGCAATTTTATTGCTGTTTGGGGCCACTTAAACTGGGATTTTTTAGTGGCTGCAGGCCACTAATAGGTCTTGATGGTTGTCATATTAAAGGAACTCATCGTGGTCAATTACTAACAGCTATGGGTGTTGACCCTAACAATGGATGGTGGCCCATTGCATGGGCAGTTGTTGAAAAAAAGCTGGAGAGCAATGGAAATGGTTCCTTCAACTCCTTGCTGATGACCTGAATATTGACAATCAACATCATTACACCTTCATTTCTGATCAACAAAAGGTAAGAATATCAATATAGTTTGAGTGTTAACAATTGTTCCAATAGAAACGATATTTTTCATATTTATCAGTTTGAGTGTTGATTCATATTTTTTTACCTTTGTAAAGGGATTGGACAAAGCTATGTCTGAGATAGTTCCTGGGAGTGAGCATAGATATTGTGTACAACATATGTACAGAAATTTTAAAAAGAAACATCCCGGCAAAACTTTAAAGTCCAAGATGTGGAGTATAGCCACTAGTACAAGGCCATGGAAGACATGAAAGAGTTTGACTGTGAGGCCTTTAAATGGGTGGAAAAAGCACCTCATGTCAGGCACTGGTGCAAGGCATTTTTTTCAGTCCATACGAAATGTGATATGCTGGTAAATAATATTTGTGAAACCTTCAATGCGTTCATTCTTGAAGCCAGAGACAAACCAATAATATCAATGCTTGAACAAATAAGAGAGAAGGTGATGTAGAGGATCCAACAAAGAAGAGAAGGGATATCTAAATGGACTGAACCAGTAGAGCCCCTAATCAAGGAATTGATTGAGGAGAGAATTAAGCAGGCCTGCCTTTGGGAGCCAATCTGGAATGGTTTGTATGGCTACCAAGATGTCAGGAAAAACACATGCACGTGCCAACTTTGGGAGATAAGTGGGATTCCGTGTATTCATGCCATTTCTGCAATGCTGGTGTCTGATAGAAACCCAATGCAGTTCACTGCCCCATGCTACTCAAGAGAGTTGTTTGCTAAAATTTATGAGAATGCCTTGGAGCCAATTAGTGGGGTCTCACTTTGGCCTAATTATGAGCATTTGGAAATGGATCCTCCAGTCGCTTGTATACAACCTGGAAGGCCGAAAAAGGCTAGAAGAAGGGATATAACAGGGAAAAGAGAAATAGTACCAAGCTGCGCAAGATAGTTGTGATGTACTGTAGAAAATGTGGAGAGACTGGCCACAATGCTGCAACTTGTTCAAGAGATAGAGGGGCTGAGCAGCAACAGCAAAGCCAAAATTCAGAAAAGCAACAGTCCAAATGAGTATGAAATTTGAATTTTCACTAACATTGTTTGTACATTAATCCACATATTGATCTGGCAGAATTTACACTTTCAGGGAAGGAGAGGAAAGCAGGGTGTACTTGAATCTTCTCATGCAAATAAAGAGCAGGGACAACAATCTAGGCAGCCTACCCGACAGCAGAATCAATCACAAAACAACCAACAACAACAGCCATCTCAGGCTAGACAACAACACCAACCACCACTCTTCAGTAAGTCAACACAACAACAAAAGCAACGGCAACCACCCCAGAATCAAGCCTCCAGGACAAAGAAAAACAATACATTGATTGATGCTGAATAAGGAAGGATAAACTCCAACTATGCTTATCTTGGAAAACAGCCTCCTTTTATTGTAGGAAGATGGAAAGGAAGATGGGGCAAAGGTAGAGCCACAAGAAGTGGTATTCAGAATCAAAGTGAAAGTGCTGGTGGAAGAAGAAGAGGAAGTGGGAATCCAAATCAAGATGAAGTTGCTGGCACAAGAGGAGGAAGAAATGTCAATCAAACTCAAAGTGAGGGTGCTGGTGCAAGAGGAAGAGAAAGAGGACGTGTGCCTTCATCTTCAACTAACTATTAGATTTGTAATCTAGTCAATGGCATTGGATGCCCTTTTACTTTTGCTTTCAGAACATGACTTGTCTCGTGCTATGTCGAGCATGCAAATGACTTGTCTTTTTGGTTTATTCGTAGATGTCATACAGTTGGACCATCTTTTGTTTGTTAATTAAGTGGCTTGACTCTTGTTATTAATGATGTAATTATATGTTGGCAGTTGATATTTAATCAAAAAGGTTTTTGGTTTCCCTATGTTCTATCATAATCCAGTTTTACAGTATTCTAGCTTTTCCATTGTTAAACATGTTAAAATGAACACGTTAAACATGCCATTGTTCCAATTGTACATTGCTCACAAAAACAGAATAAACCAATATGATGCTATCATTAAAGCAAAACATGCTTTTCCAATACGTTCTTTGTCCAATTAAAGCAAAACATGCTTTTCCATTCACCCATGAACTACATTTGTACATTACATTCTAGTTCCACTTTCTTCATTCATTTGCTTATAATACATCTTTCTGGGATAATTGCAATAGATCATTATTTCCTAAATTTTCAAACACCCAAACTGCAAATCCTGCTAACACAAAGCCATAGGTGATTGCAAGAGCTGCAACAAACTTCCTTTCCCTTGATGCATGTTGTTGCATCATAATTTCCAACTTTCGAACATTTGTCTGGAATTTTGCTGCTTTGCACTCCCACTTTTGTGCAGACTCTTCGGCATTTGTGAGCTGTTTCTCCATTTGATTGATTCGCCGAAGCAACCCAGGTATAATCTCCACTGAACGCGGACACATTTCTTCATCTATCCGTTTCCAATACTTGCATCCCTAACCCAAATTCATAACAAACAGCAATTACTAACAACTTACCTGAGTAATTACTAACAACCTCACTAAATTACTGCTATCCATTACCTGAGCAAGTCGACATTCTGCATATCTTCGACCTGGATTCCGTGGAGTCCATGACATTTTCATAATGGTACTCAATTCGTAGCCACACATTGGAGGTATTGGATTTGATCTTGGCATCTTCCACCTCGTTGTTTCCAATGTTATACGTGCAACAAAACCCTAATTTTTCTTTCTTTTGCAGAAGAAGAAGATGAAATTTCAACAAATGGGCAAAACTCGATTTTTGGAAAGGATTTCCATTGCTTCGATTTTGGCTTGCTTAAAAATTGAAGAGTTGCCTCTTTCAATCTCTTTTTACGCTCCTTAGTCGCTAGTCTCGAGGGTTCAAACATGAACAGACAAAAATACCCTTTAATTCCGGTTAGATTTGTGGTTAAATTCATCAGAAGTCCTCAAAGGATGCATTTTTAATTGTTTAATGATCAATCGGAAACAAATTTTAGATGGGGGGCCAAAAGAAGACAACGACAATAGTTTAAGGGCTCCCCAGATTTTTTCCTCTAAAAAAAAGAAATTTGTTAAACAACGGTTGCGTTTGGATTCCCTGTTTTTTGAGGTGTTTTTCAAAAATTTCACTGTAGCAGTTTTTGAAAAACAACTATTGTCGTTTGGATTGCTGTTTTTGAAAAACTTAGTTTTTGAAAAACACATGCGTTTGGATTAAACAGTTTTGAAAAACACCTACACAATAAATCTGTGTACGGTACAATCATGCAATTGGCCAATAACATCAGGCCATTGCAAATGTGATACAGTTTAAATAAGTGAATTTCCCCAATATGTACGGAGGTAGCACACTGGCACCGTAACCCCTGTCAACAATGTGCAGAACTTATCTCAAAAACGGCTTTTTGGTACAAGATCATTCACAAACACATGATGAGCATTCGATGAACTGAATATTCGGGTTTATTTAATAAGTACAGATGTGCAAATATAAGATAAAGATCCAAATCCGTGGTCGACATAACACAATAAGTATTCCCAAATTTCAAATGTTAATTGAAATCACAAGTTCATTCGAAGAAGACTAATAAACTTGTACCTTGTTGGATCTATCGGTCCAAGACCTTACAGTGGAGGCTAGTTATGCACATTCCAACACATGTGAGCCGTCATTGCCCGCCAATCTTCGTTCCAGTTATCTATGCCCTGCTGCTACATATCGATGGGTTAACCCGACTCATGTTGCTCCCCTGCTATCTGTGCATCTGCAAAGGCTCCGAGGGCAGCTTTTTCGTTGAAATACTCATCCGCTAGGGAATAAGCACACATAAAATTGTGCAAAGTACAACATGCAAGCACAATATTATTTTGAGTTGCTATTAGGTAGTTCTGCATTGCACCCTTAAGTATTGAAAAACGCTTATTAAGAACCCCAAACGTTCGCTCAATAATATTTCTAACTAATGCATGCCGCCTGTTGAACAGCGCTTTAGCTGCCCGCTCATGATGCATGCCCCGTGCATCCCTAAACGGTGCCATAAATCCTGGCATATTAATGTAAGTAGCATCTACCGCATAATATTTTCCTATCAATGATGTCATATAATGGATATCAAGGTATTGATTATAAATAGAGAAAGATAGGAGCAACAATTTTTCAAGTAACCTCGGGGACCTTTTTGATAATGCCATAACTATTATTAAGTTCTTTCTTATCGAGCATCTTGAAATATAACAAGTGAGCTACATACCCTGCGGTGGCATAGGAAAATCCGAATTCGGATCTTGCAAGGTTTCTTGGAGAATTCGGGCATCATGAGTACTACCCTTCCAACCGACCTGAATTTAGACAAATCGCATATCATGATCGCAGGCAACAAGCACATTCTGTGATAAGTTGCCATGCCGATTTCTGAACCTCTCTCTTATCTCTGCTCTGCACCATACGGAGATGTGGGTCCCATTAATGGCTCCAACACAATCCTATACGAGTTCGATATTTTTAAAATCATTCTAAATCGTTAAAGAAAGCAAAACAGTAGGAGTCTATTTCATTGTTACATACTCGAAACCACGGCATGAGCAATGCATTGTTCAAAATCCTGGGATGAGTCCCATCGAAATTTGCTGGCCTAACGAGATCACGACCGACCCGAACAAAGGCTCGTAAGACACGACAAACATGTTGATCAATCGTATCTGTTGAATGCTGGAACCGCTCGGCTAGAACCCGGTGTCGCTCATCATGGCTCAGGCATATTAGAGTTAAAACAACATATTCATGAACCCCCACCCTATGAGAAGGATATGCATGCCAGTAACCACACTGAACCAATAAATCACACAACAACAGGAATTGGGGAACATCCAAGTGCATGTTCTCAATAATTCTGTCTTCATGTCCGTTTATCAGCTCAAGTACATAGTCCCTCCCCGAGAGTGCACTATTTCGAACTCTTCTTCTTCTGGGGACACGATTAAAGTGTGGGTCAAAGAACATGACACCTAAGAGTACAACTGCCATAAGGATATTATCGAGATCAATATCGTCGGTCTCGTCGTCCAGGTGTCCTTCCTGAATGTGTCCCTGGTTATCCATCCCGTTGCTACCACTTTCAAGTATGCAATTGGTCAAGCGGCACCTTGTACATTTAGGATCCAAAAGGTTAAAAGTAAAAGTCAACACAACTCCTAGAAAATGCAGACCTTAGTCACATAAAGCTAACAAACTTGCCCCTAATGAACAAAAAAAATAATTAAGAGAAGCTGAGCAAAATAACAAGTTCACTGACGTGCGCGGGATATACATATACAATTAGTTCATTCATAATCAAATTTTACATTTATAATTCCTAAATATCCCACACGCAATTTATCGTAAGTATACGAATTGTGAACGAGTATAGGATATTAAGGGTCAATCCCACAGGGAAGATCGCAATTACCGGTATTTTTCAAACTTCTTTATTATTTAGACTACCACAAATATAAAAATTTATGAAAGTAACACTAGAAAACTCCTAAAGATATGAAATTCCTACTACTCTTGCAAATGAAGTTAACGGTTAAGTTAATGTTATTATCTTGGTTAGTTATGACGTAATTTCTTAATGTATGTGAAACCTATTCTCGTAGTGAATCAACTATACTTGTAACTACGCCATACCTACTCTCGTGGTTATGATATTAATTACAAACTCATTTCTTCTATGAAATTATATAAAACAAGTCATTTAAACCACATAGGTGCATCTCTACTTTCGTGAGTGAACTTCCTATGTTTATCACTTCCTTGAACTAGTGTTAAATTTCAATTCTCATTACAAATTTAACACCTTAAATAATCACAATTAATGGCCAGCTAATTATGATTAGAATATCAAAAGTGATAAATAACTTGTTCAAAATAATATCACCAAATAACCAAATAAATATCACTAACAAAACATAGAAAGTTCATCCATACTCTAGGCATTAACTTTAGAAATACATAATAAACATAAAATCCAAAAGTTGTATATTAACCATACTTAAGAATCCAATACAAAAGATAAAGAGTTGTAGAAGAGATAACCCATGTCACTTGAGTTTTAACTCCTCCTTCTTCATCTCCATCTTCATCCTAATCTAGCTAATATACAAGAAGGATGAACTAACTAGCTAAACTATCCTACACTACAGAAATGGAAGAACTACATTTTTGTGGTAATTCTTGCACTCTCCAACCTCCTAAAAAAATTGCTAGCTAAAGAAAATATGACCAACTCAGTTTTTATCCTAAAATTTTGATATCCTCCATTCACCTACCGTATTTTTCTTCTCTCCTTTGATTATCTAAATCTGGTGTTAACCAAGTCAACAAAACAAAATTCCAACCTCTTGATTCTACCGTATATTTTTGACTTGACAATAAGCTATTTTTCTTCCTTTGTACATCAAAAACATGTGTAGCCTGCGTTTTCTTTCCAACTCTAGCTGGAAAATAGTATGAAGATGAGAAAAATGGCTGAACAAATTGCAGAAATTCAGCTGCCATACGTGTTTTCACTTTTGACCTTACTTCAACTGCAATTTTCTCTATGATAGCCACCGAACTGGCTGTTATGCAAACATAAAAGTTGTAACCCTTTGAATTAGCGTTCGAATACTTCAAGAATCATCTAATTTGGAGATCGGTGGACGGAGATATGGTCGAAATACCATAGACTGGTCAATTCTGGACTTCAAATTTCAACCATCGAGATAAGTTTCTGTGTTTCAACTTTTTGACCTAGAAAACAGCTAAATTGGATTTTGATGTTTTCATACCAAATGTAGATATATCTCTTAGCTTAAAAATGGTACCAAGATCACCTCGATCCGATCATTACAGCTCGAGATATAGCCGAAATACCAAGATATGTCGAAACTGTCTTTACTTGAATTCCCTCAATTGAATGTTTTGTACTTCATGCCTTCTTTAAACCACTTCATTTCATCAATTATCATCCAATTTTCTTCTCAATTCACTTCAACTGATGATTGATTCCTTAAACCTACAAAAACATGAAGTTCTTTCCGTTAAAATCTATATAAATGTAATTTTTGCCAATTAAATCGCAACATAGATATCTTAACCAAAACCCTAGTTAATTAACTATAAAACTAGATAAAACACACCAAAACTAACTAATAAAATATACTAAAAATACATAAAATATCCACTTATCAAATACCTCCACACTTGAACCATTGCTTGTCCTCAAGCAATTAGAAATACAAATCAACAATAATCCAAACTTTTAAATATATATGCACCATTCAACTTCATTTTTCTCAAAACAAGGTAAATAACCATAATGCAAACTTTCATTAATCCTCAAACACTCATAATATCAAGTAAAGGAGAGCCAATTATACCACCGTTATAACAAATTCAAATCGATTCCTCATCCTTACCCAATTTCATAAGCAAGTAACTCATATGGTCAATAATAATGCTTCCTAAACTCATGATCATCTTTTTATTCTACTTAAAAAAAGATATTTATTCATATAATATAACTAAATATTACTTAAAACGTGAGAATGTCTTTTGACGCGATAATCGACATTTTTAAAAGAAGATTACCGGTTACTCAACACTTCACATACTCAAGTTGCTTTGCATACTTTAAATTCAAGTACCGTTTTACGCGAAAGTCAACATTTGTAGATGAAAACACCCGGTTACTAAGTACAAGAATCATTGGAGTAGAACAAATCTTATTTTATTTTTTTCTTCTTTTTTTTCATTTTTTCTCTTTTTTCTGTCCACTTTTTTTCTTTTTTTTTATAGCAAAGATAATAATAATTTTCTCAAAAGAATAATCATGAGAAGAGTATTGCACTTATTGACCATATTTATCACTTAACTTATAAAATCCAATAAAGAGAAGAAATTTCATTAACTATGCAAAAAAAAAGCATAATTTTCTCCATTTTACAAGATATATTTTCCTACAAATGCACAAATTATAATCACATAATAGTCATTTCCAAGTTAAACGAGAAAAGAAGTTTTCAAAGCACATATATTTATCTCAAATGTAGAAAAAATTTGAACTATTAATGGTAAAGAATTTGTTACCCTCTTGGATAAAATTGAAAATTTTGAAATTTTTTGGGGCAAATTCGCAAATTTGGACAAGATTTTGAAAATTTTTTGAATTTTAACACATGTCCAATATTTACAACCAACAAGTCAATCACATACAATATATATAATCTCAATTCTTCCCCCCACACTTAACATGCACATTGTCCTCAATGTGTAAAAAGAAAAATTAAGATAAAGAAAGTAATACTCCCCTATTGTTGCGATTGAAGTGTCAAAGCATGAATTTCACTAGTAATTGTCCACTTATCTCCACAACTTCATGAGTTCCATTGAAATCCATTAGTAATACCATCTAAAATTGAAAAATGAGAGACAAATGAAAAATAATAAAATCACTCAAACACATAATTTAAATATGAAATCACACCAGAATAACATAAATAGCCAAAACATTGGGTTGCCTCCCAACAAGCGCCTTTTTTATAGTCATTAGCTTGATTATTTCACCTCATTTTTCAAGGAGGTTTAGTTAACGAATAATCCAACATTTTTGGACGTGGTGTATCATTAAAAGATGACTCGATCACATGAGTCACGTGTTCTAATGATATAAGAAGTGAAAGTAGCTTATCTAACTCAAGTGTATCGTAGATATTACCTTGAACATACACCCCTTGAGTACTCACCAAAGGAACATCTACATAGCTTTCTTGGGCTATAATACCTTTAGAACCTATACAATTAACACGTTTCTCAAGAGGGATGAAAAATGAGTCGTTAAGGCTCGCCTCTTGCGATTCAATGTTAGCTCCAAAGGTACTATCCTATGAAATGGACATTTCCTCATTGAAACACCAGTTAGATTCATCATTTTGATCAAAATTTAATCCATTGTTACATACAACATTCCCACCATTCATAATAGGGTCATTTTGCATATCATTAGAGGAAATAACTTCACATAATGCATATAATTGGTCTTGTATTCTACCAAAGTGAGAAGTTAATTCATCTAATATTTCATCAACCCTATCAAAACAGTTGGAGGTTGCATTTGCTAGTTTTTCTATGGCTAAATCAAATTGATTAGAAGAATTTTCTACAGCTAGCTCCCAAGATGCATTAGAATCATTAGCTAATGGTTCACTTTCTAATTCACAAGGTAAAGATGCATTAGCTAATCTTTCTATTGCCAATTCCCAAGATGGTTTTGCTTCATATTGGACACATTTGGGTGGATAATCATAAAAACATGAAAAATCACTATAAGTACATTGATTATTCCAACCATAAGTAGAAGAGTTATCCCAATTAGCACCATATTGATCAAAACAAGGATTGTAATGCCCTAATTCATCATAATAATCTACATTTTGTGCTTGCATACATGTATGAGTAGAATGATAATCCCACACAAGTCACAAATCATATTATTAGAATTAAAAACATTAGCATTCCTCTTTTGCTCATCTTCAAAAGACATACCTTCGGTAATTTCTTGGTTACCTCTATTAAAGGAGTTTTGCACTTGGTAACTATCCATTGTCGATCTTACACTTCTCATGCATTGTCTCCCCATATTTTCTACTCTCCTTGATCCCCTAAACATGTTTTCAAAATAACTCAAAAACAAGTTTAGTCAAGAAGAATATATAACTCAAACATAAAAAAAAATACAAAAAATACTTGACGTGCGCGGGGTATACATATACAATTAGCTCATTCACAATCAAGTTTTACATTTATAATTCATAACTATCCCACACGCGATTTATCGTAAGTATACGAATCGTGAGCGAGTATAGGGTATTAAGGGTCGATCCCACAGAGAAAATCGCAATTACCGGTATTTTTCAAACTCCTTTATTATTTAGACTACCACAAATATAAAAATTTATGAAAGTAACACTAGAAAACTCCTAAAGATATGGAATTCCTTACTACTCTTGCAAATGAAGTTACCGGTTAAGTTAATGTTATTATCTTGGCTAGTTATGACGTAATTTCTTAATGTATTTGAA